GGTTCGATCGTTTGGTACTGTCGGAGAATGTACCGCATTGCAGATGGCCCGAAGCGGAAGATCGGCCAAGCCAAGGGTTTCGAGCCAGTCGAGACCAAGCAGGTTGAGCTTCGCCTTTGTGATGTAGCAGATCGCGTTGAACGTGGCGCCCCGGAAGGAGACGGAGCAGTGCAGCTGCCTAGTTAGCTGCACGCGACCACCACAGGCGCTGGTGGCAGATTGGGAGGTCGGTTCGAAAGGTGGCTTGCCAAGGGATCGCCAGAGATCCTCGGAGATGATTGTGATGTCCGACGCAGTGTCCAACTGCAATCGGACCGACTGACCATTGATCAAGACGTCGACGAACTTTCTCCGATCCGCAGCGTTGATTTGGAACGTGGCCAGCAGGCTCAGGGAGCTGCCAACCGGACCAGGTTTGGGTGTGCGTCTGGGTCGGGACCTCTTCTTTGGATCGCGGGTGGGGGCCAGCCCAGTTTTGGCCCCCTTGGGAGATGGAGGATGGCAGTAGCCATCCCGGTGCCCCACCCTGCCACAACGTTGACAACGATGCTGGCGGAACTTGCAGTCGCGGTGGAAATGCCAGGCACCACAGAATCGGCATGCGTAGGGTGGGGACTTCGCTCGGTCGGATTGGGTGGGACGCGCGGACGATTGCGCCCTCGGTGCTGTGACTGCCTGGACCATACCAGGTGCGGCGGCGTTCTGGATCATTGCAGAATCGTGCTTCAGATTGAGCAGCGTTTGACACTCCTCGGCCAGGTTCTGGAGTGTGACTGAGCTATCCTGTTGTAGCTTGGACAGGAGGCGCGTCCGGATATCGGCATCGTGTGGAGACTGGAGGCCAGAGACGAAGATCAGGCATTTGAATTGGTCCTCGGTGAGCGAGCCAAGTTGAAAGCGTTGGCATTCACGGTTGACCACGCCCGCGTACGTGATGAAGTCGTCGGCATCACGTTTGGACAGCTGCAGACACTGATAACGAGCATTGAACAGAGAGCATTGCTCGCCAAAAATCTGTGACAACGTTCGGACCGTCTCGTCAAAGGTAACGTCGCGTGGGTTCCTCGGCAAGATGAAATTGGTGTAGCGCTGGTGTTCGAGCGTACCAAGTTTGCGAAGAAGCAGCCGGACCTTCCACGCGTCGTCCTGGCAAGCCAAGTCAACGGTGAACAGGTCCTCGTACCGCTTGTACCAAGATTCGAACGTTACCCCGGCCTTGGCGTCGTAGAGGAATTCGCTGATGCCGCTAACCACCTGGTCCACTGACTGAGAATTGGCGCTCGGACCTGCATGAAGGGAAGAACTGGAAAGCCTTTCGGTTAGCACGGACATCAATTTAAGCTGTTGCTGCAGCATCAATTTTAAATCGGCGTATTCGTCAGTCATGGTTCGTCAACTCTGTCGCCACTGTTATAATTGAGGGAACGCCGCCTCTGAGATAATTGCGTGACAAGATTGTCGCTCGCACGGTTGGAGCACGCCTACGATGACGACTTGTAACGCTGGCCACTCGAACGGAGTTGCGCTGACCTGGTGACGCTAGCTTAGCCGGTGAGACGGAAAATTGAGCGAGCGTGTGAACGATCCTAGCCGCACTTGTTCGGATAGACGCTGAGACCCCGAAAACGGACGCACACGAGAGGGGGTACGATAGACGCGCGCTAATGACTTAGACGCGAAGGCTGGCCAGCTAACGACTCACACGCAATCACGTGACCCGACCGACTCCCAACTGAGGCGAAGAGAAAGAGAAGACAAGTGGTCCTCTGTAGGCTCTTTTACGACCGACAAAGGGCGATCACAGCCAGTGATATGGGTTATTAAGTTAGGGAAAAAAGTCACCACGCAGAGGTGGTAGTTTGCAAATGACCATTGTCAAAAGGTTTGCAGTTGGGACGCGCCTCGGAGTGGCTGAACACTGCTGCGTTGTGGGGAGAAATTGGACTCCGCTTCCCACAGCCATTATGCCGGAGTTACTGGCGCGCTTTTTGCGGGGATTTTTGACGGGCCCGCAACAGACGCTCTATGCTGTCAGTCGGGATAGACAAGCCACAGTGATCCGACTGAAGGTTGACGTGGTGCGATGGTTTGTGTGCACCCATGGTCCACTGATCAACACTGGGTGGCATCTTTGCACATACAGAGCCCCCACACCAGAATAATCCATGACTAGAGGCCAGACGAATTCCGTATCTAGGTTCGGCTGGCTTGCCGAAAAACCTCCTCGTGGTGCCAGCTGTGTGGTTCGGGATTTTCCCGTTCCAGCAAATGGTTAGGCGGCAGTGTTCCAGGACCTGGTGGGTTTTCGCCTGGCAAGTGTTCACCCTATAAAAAGCCACATATGTCCGTTTAACAACACTGTGACGTGGCGGACGTGACTCGCCACTAAATAAAGTCACTGCCCCTTGCTTCATCCTGGCGAAGCATTGTATTCCAGCAACCTTATGCTGTACTTCTGGGGAGCATTGGGCCCCTGTTTGACAAAGGAACAAACGAAAGGCGTATGAACTGAGCAATCAGTCACCGGCTCCCAATGGGCGCGATTCCCTGAATTCGCTCCGCTGCCTTGCGGGCAGGCTATTCAGCCAAACGCTCGGGGTGGTGTCCCCTAACTCAACACCCTACTTCGGCTTGGGCAACCGGGTATTATCTCGCCCTCTGAGGAAACCATGGACAGTTGTGTTGTGTTTTATTTTACTGTTTCTGTACCTTCGTTTGAATCCCATGGTTTCTGATGGCATTATGTCTGTTAGCAGACTTTTGCAAATATATATATATATCTTGGTTCACCAATTTGTGGATAGGAAGGAGAGTGGATCTTCACCCTTTAAAATGATTACGCTGTATCACACAACCAAGCTCTTCCAACATTGCGGTCAAGTTTTTGAATCAAAAGCCCTAGTTAGCAACGCTAATCATTCTCCAGTTTAAGCTTTCACAGTAGCACACACACGCAATGCAGCGAAATTCTCCTCCAACAATTTCTTAATGCGCAGGCTGTCGTGGAGAATAATCAATGACGTCAAATCTACTACATGGAGTGGAGCGGGTAGAGGTAAAGACAATACTTGGAAGGGATTTATTTATTATTTTCCCCTAGCTTCCCTCTTCTTTGCAACTCACCAAATTCTTGCTTGTCTTCCATATTGCTTCGGTATTCATTTGTCTTCCCGTTTCCACTCACACACAATCGCAGGGCATCGCTCCAGCCCCGTCAGCAGGTCGATGCACAGTACCAGATCTTACTATAACCGAGTAGATTCAATTAAAATTTCACACATCCCCATCGACACATCAAAACGAAAAGCTCGTAGGTCTTTCGCTTAGATCACGTCTGAAGAACCGTTAGCATCCCCTTGCGTCAGGACAACCACACATGCTACTGAGTGCTGTGTTTTACTGAGTCAACAACAAGCAGATGATGTACAGGTGTCGCTGGAAATAGGTGCAGATCATAGATCTTGGAAGCCAACCGTGAAAACAAGCTAATCCCACCTAGTGTCATAAAAATACCAGACGTTTATCTTCCAGCTTAGCTAGTAATATTTTTGCAATACCATTGAACAGAGCCAAAAAACATGGAATTCACTAGAAGAAGACAGGTTTAATCAACGCAGCATCATCATGACACATTAGCCGAAGATGAGCAACATACTTCAGCTATTGTGTCACAATAAAAGAAAAAGCGGAGCATTTTTGTTATTCTGCACATCCTAAATTTTTATTTTTCATTTTTCTAATCATTAAGCAGTAAGCATCTGGATCTAAACAAGCATGTACACAGACCTTTCTTTGGTTTCGATTGCGCACCATAGCCTGAATTGGTTCCAGCCATCGGCACTCCTCGTCCTTTGATCCCCAACCAGGCATACGTGTGAATCCAACGGTGGCAAGACGATTTCTTTTGCTGTCGCCGGGTGGACGGCTGACCGCGACGTGATGTCTTCCAGCCAAGATCTGCACGGGTGAAATGTGCGCAATAAGACAGACGCTCAGCTGATATGCGCAGGACATGACCGAGCCACCTTAACTGGCGCAGCAAAACCAGCTTGCTGAGGTGAATACTCGCATTCCCTTAGAAACGATGTCCGACTTTATTGTTGCAGATGTGTTGTTGCCACCACACACGAGCAATCCTCCTCAAGCACCCGTTGTCGAAGACAGAGAGCCGGCGCACGTCGTCTACACGAACTGGCCATGACTCGCTTGAATATAGCAACACCTCTCGAACGGTGGCATTGTAAACACGACGCTTTACCAAAAGGGAGACATCCCGACGACGCCACAAGTGTTTCAAGTTGACAAACACTGACCGAGCTTTGGCGATGCGAAGAGAAACTTACCTTCCAATGGTACCACCAACAGACACACAGCTGTCCAGGTAAACAAAGCTTCCACTTGTTTAAGCTTCGTATCTTCAATAGTGAACCCGGGAACGGTTGAGTACCAATCCTGAAGCAACACTTTACATTTTGACGGGGAAAAGCATATTCGGTACCTAGATGCCTCAAAGGCCAAACTCATTAGTATAGTTTGCATGCTCTGTGAGTTGTCACCAAGTAAGGCGATATCATCTGCATAATCTAAGTGGGTCGCTAGCTTGCCTAGAAGTAGCTGTAGACCAAAATTTTGGTAACAGTCCAGAGATCTCGACAGGATGCCTTCAATCGCAAAATCGAAGAGGAACGGGGGAGATAGGAAAGCCTAGTCGTACACCGCTACTGACAGCGAAAGCCTGCCATACACTCTCACCCTGCCGAAGATGTTGAAATACAGTGCACAGAGGATGACACTGTACTTCTCTGGGACACCGCTCCTTAGCAAACAACGCCATAGTGCAGGTCGATCAACCGATTCGAATGCAGCACGGATGTCCATGCTTTATAATCATTGCGTAGGCTTTGTTTGAGCTGCCGACCGACAGAAGGGCGCACTTCGTTATTATTAGATACACAGAGGCTTCCAGCCATGTGAAGAGACGGAATCGACAACTAGACTGCTCGGTGTTGTGAACTCATTGTTCGTAGTGACTAATCTGGAGTCAAGGACATGGTTGGCGAAAGGGTAACAGAGTGCGGAGCAGAGAATTTGGGGAGTAAAAAGGCTGTTGACACAGAGAATCGAATCTTCGCATGGTATAATCGAGGGGTATATAGGTAATGGTCTCTAAATCGTAGGAAAGTTGGGACTCAAAGGTATGGACATCGGATAGGATGCATGTGAAGTACAGAGTAGGCGACAAAAGGAAAACCACTTCTGAAAAGAGAAAGTGGAAGTTTAAGCAATGCACGGATAACAGGACACGTGAACAATAAAGGGGGGTAAATGCGGAACATTGATTTTCGGGATAACGTGTGCAAATGGCCTTAGGCGGTCAATTTGCTTTCGGAACGGGGAGACATGTCGGGTTGCATGCACGGAGGGGATACTCCGGATAGACACAGTCGTAGCGCGTCCACCATCATCCTTTGGGGAATAGAAGGAAGACAAACGATGCGATCAGCTCAGTACAAAAACGCGTTGAGGTTGAAATGGTGCTCGCAAACGACATTAACAAAACAGTCGGTGAAGTCAAAAACCATGGACACATGGGTGCACAGCGAGATAGTGAGAATTGTGATGAAGAGTACGACAGAGCGATGTGCAAGGTTGTTGATGAAGGTGCGCCGTGCGGTCCAGAGAGACGTGGACCAGGTAAAAATAGATAGACCTACCTACTAACACGTCAGTAGGAAGGACCGACTACAGACCTCCAAGAAGAAAAGCATAACCCGAGGAGCCAACACGATGATGACCGATAGGCAAGATCGGCTAGTGAAAAAGGTCGGGGTATGTGCGGGCGGATTGGATAACAAACAATGGATTATGAATGACCGATTCTGAGGTAAAAAGCGGGAAACTTATTCCAATCAAACAAAGCGAGATAGGCAGTTGATGAAAGAAGAAACAGTTGTTGGATCCTGTGATCAACTATGAGGCGATTCCACAGCCAGTAAGCTGCATTGCGCTACGTGCAAACGTCCACCGATGAGGAGAAAATGCTCGATAAAACAATGGTATTTTTAATGGAGGACATGAACACACCTCAAACTGGCTTGAGTGGGACAGCAAGAATATTTCAGGGATAGAAGAACCGGAGAATGAGGAATATTGAAGATAAAGATGGGGTTGAAATTGGACGCAGTTAAGGACCCCGAGTGGTGCCAAAATGCTAAGTACCACGCTGCATTCCTGGATTGCGGATACCGTGAGGCAAGAGAGATTCATTAGCACGAAATATATATATACCCATTTCGGCGTCAACAGGCAGACAATAGAGAGAACTTGAAGCGCATGTATGGACTAGGAGATCGGACATAAGACGCAAAGGGAGAAGCCGCATAAGGTATCGGACAACGACCAAGTTTAGTGTTCCATACGCAAAAAGCATGCAGCTGAAAGTACAACCGGCAATTCGATTGCAAAAGGTGAAAAACCCAGCTCGAATCAGCGAACTCAGTGGGAGTGGTTAGGTAGTGATCCACATCAGCGCGGAAAATGGCAAGGATTTGGAGGAGGAAAGGTGAGAATCATTCGGGAGGAGCTGTCGGTAAAAAATTTAAAGTAAAAAGCATTAGTTTCACAAGTCCTATTGTTAACTTAGCCCAAAAAGCCAACCAAATGGTAGTTGAACAAGACGCAATTCAGTTGATGAGCCCTGAAGTGTGCTTGATCCAACTGCTTTAACGTCCGTTGACCAAACTAGCAAGCATGGAAAGCAGTTGAAAATGTCAGACTCGAGGAACTTGAAAAAAGTGAAGTCACCAGACAGCGGGACAAATTCGAAACAGCCACCAATGTTGCAATTATGCAATATCAAATAGCACTTCCAAGCATCTGCGCAGCCAATCCCGAGGTCTCCATCTAGGAAGACGCTACACCGACAAAGATTGGACTTAGTCCGAGTGGAGAATACACAACGAAAGCTTCCATATGAAAAACGTTGTGAAAAGCTCGGACTTTACACACTATCCTATCGCCGAGTAAGAATTGATCTTATTATGACCCATCGAGTACTACACTTGAATCACTTCCCCATACTGCGGCCAATATTTCACCTGCGAGAACCCTGTAACACCCGAGGACATCGTTACAAACTCAGGGTCCCCAGCATGAACAAAGTATCACATCAGCTTTGTATCGAACGAAGAATCGTAAACTTATGAAATACACTACCAGAAGGATTAATAGAGGCCGATTCTGTGAAGTGTTTTAAAACGCGTATCGACGATTATTTTGGAAACCTGTGCTTTTGTGAAACGATGCACATACAGTGCCAAAAGAAGACATTGTATGTCCGGAAATAATAACGCTAGTACAAATTTCTAACCAAACACGGATAAACGATTAACGGACCAGACACAACTGCTGATAATTCACAAGTAAATTCTGATTTTTCGTAATTCGATAGAGTTGTACAGAAACCTTTCTACTTGCTCTTAAATACAGTCTCAGCCTCAGTCTCACGAGGCAGCCAGTCGGCAGGCATGCGAACAAAGGGATAGCTAGCGCAGATGGTTTCGGTCCTATTGATACGCCAGTGCATCGCCAGAGTCAGCTCCAAAACGCCAACTGGTGTACCTAATTGTTACGCAATCGATGCCACCCACAGCCATATGTTGTACATCGGTGGTCAAATGCAGGCAGCCTCCTGATATTTTCCGAGTGAAGTGCTTACGTATGTGAGTCCGGAGAGACACAGCTTGTTGCTGTTTTTCAACGTGCCACACAAGAAGACCTATTCCGACCTGCCTACACTCCATTTACAACATTTCTCCACTAGAGCGCTTCGCAACAAAGGTTTTACACTGAATATACCGTAGGCTAGAACGAACGACCGCTCTAATTTCTTCCAATAACAGGTCATGTGGCAATATTTTGAAGCAGACTCGCCAATTACCTTGATCTAACTACCATAATCTATATATTCACATGGGAAAAAGCCTTCAATGAGCTATTCCAAGAGGGGCCAAAAAACATATAAACACTAATGTTTTTATAAATAGGTTTTGGCCTCAACCATCCGGCAGAATGTTAATACATTAAACCCATATCACAATACTCCACCTATGCATCTCACCCATGCAAGAGCATGGATTCTTCTGCACAAATTGACCTGTGCCGTTATATACACAGTTACTCTCATCAAGAGAAATATACGTATTATTATTGTTATTATTATTATTATTATTATTATTAGTCCAGAGTGCACACCTTAAGTGTGGCCAACAAAATGATGCATCGCTGTCTATTTAAGTGAACACTTGAAAACCTCAATAGTATACCGAGTGACCAAGTAGAGGACCAGAACATTCGAGGTGATAACGCTGCCAAGATAGGTGAAACAATAAAACGCTTCAAATAGTTGTTCGGTAACGATAAGCAATGGCAGTGCTTAATCCCAGCCCTACAGGTGTCCCGTATCTGGAAGGTGTAAAGGGAATGGTAAAAGGTGCAAAGCTCCGCACAAACCTGTCAAGAAATACAACTGAAAGATTTGTATTCAGTCTCAACAGTGTGGGAAAGTACGTTCCTCATTACACCATCTCGGCAAACGTACAATTCAGAAAAAAGCGGTCCAGAGCAATATATAACCACTTCGAGCACAAAGTTGGTACCTAGGAGAGTTTCCAGTCAGCTCTCACACAGCTCTAATGAAAGGGGGCGAAAAAAACGTATAATAGAAAGTGCGCAGGTAAGCATCATCAACTAAACAGAGGTTTGCTCTCAAGTCAAAGGAAACAAGTGCCGTAGAACATCTGCATAGGTAGTGCCATTCAAAAGCCCAGTGAGAAATAACGGAACAGTGGAAACTCAAAATAAATAGGCAAGAAAAAACAATTTTAAGACGGTGTGACAAGGAACCAGAAATTAGGCAGGGAATGCAAGAGTTCGACTGACTTCGTGATCAAGCTATTACCGATGAGGTACTCAACTTCTGATGTGGCCGGTACCGAGGACAATTCCAACCGGGAAGAGGACAAGAGACAACACAATAAAGGGCTCCAGTGAGTTGTTTTATGCTCTTTTGCCACGTCGCTGGCTGGGAACTTCGGAGGTTCACCTAATCGGGTGGTATTGAGGAACAATACACACCGAGGCCGAAGATGCACTGACATACGAAGTACATGACCAAACCAGCGAAGGCGATTCCAACTCAACGCGCACTCCAATGGGACCGGTTGGTCGGTTGCCAAATACGAGACGACGAATTGCGGTATTATCCACTCCCACTAGATATGAACACTAGTTAGCGAGTGTCGATAGGCAAACAACTCTTCAGAGTGTATGGATCAGTTATCTGATCTACAGAGTAAAACTAGCCACACAGCAGCGTCGCGAAACCTTACGTGAAGAATGCGTACGCTAATCTACTAGATAATGTGACCACCAGACGTGGTAGACCTACATAAACAAAAAAGCGACTGAATATTTCGGTGATTTTGTAAAAGGAATTGTCGATAGGCGCAGCTGCACCAAATCGTGAAGCGCCACAAGTCAGGATATACTGTAGCGCATGCCAGCAACCAAGAAACAATGTGGGCGAGGCCAACGATTCAGTTGAAGGACCTCATCGGGCAAGGCATCTTATTTCTATCCGATAGAGTGACATTCACATGGCTTTGTTATAACCATTCAGCTGTGACATAAACATCCTGAATAAGTTGTGGTGAATTGGCAAACGCGATATGGTCTGTGATTACTTCCTTAACAGAAAGCTTTCGGACCTGTGTTACATGGTGTCTCTCAATAACAGGAGCACTCAGCCTCATTGATTCATGATGTTCATTTAGCTTAATAATGAACCTGAGACTCGCAGTCAACTGACGTCTCAGGGTGCCGCGGAGACTGAAGCTTACTACTATAGAAATACCATTTTCAAGTAAGAAAAAGTGCAAAATGAGAGAGAGACAGGCAACAGCAGTATAACGATGCGCGGAAAAACGATGTTTCGCTGCCATGTGATACTCATCAGTCGCGCGTGGTCACCTACACCAACGTAGATTTGAACCGGTGACGTCTGTGGGTTACAAGGCACAGTCTCATCACTTAGGCCACTACTAGCCAATCAAATTGTGTTGCTCAAGCTAACTAAGAAACCTCGAAGGTCTGCACCATGGCTTGTTAGGGGATCCCAAATAATATCCTCTGACGATGCGGCCTGAAGGCTAGTTGGCGCAATGTCAGTGCTGAATAGAACCGGGTTGATGCGTGCGACCTTCAGTAGTCGAACTGGACAATTTGAATTCAGACGTTTCGTCACCCCTCGAGCTGACATCATCTGCAAGAGAGAGAGGAGTAGTGGCAAAATGCAACTCCTGGGTAGTTGTTGCGAAGTACTACACTACTGTATCCAACTTTATATCGTAAGGTCAATGACTGTGTATTGTGACCTTTAGCACTGCCGTCCCGTCTGAAAATGCAGTCGTTTTGTCTAGAATGCCGGTCGATGTGGAGGGTACAGCAAAAATTCGGTCACACCTTAGTGTACGCTGATTAGTCAGGACCTAGCGGCGATCACAACGTCAAGACCATTTAGTCGCCAACTGCACACTTAAGGCGCCAACTGGTCTTAGGGTTCGGCGGCAGTTGTTAGTCGAATATTGCACCATAAGTAGTAATTATTTCGTTTCTCAGTTTAACTACCTGCTTCTATCCATGAACACATTGTGGAAGACTTGATGCACTGGTTGATAGTTGTTGAGTTCACCGGTTCGCCGAGCTTCGTAATTAGTATGTGAACGTTTCATCACCAACTCTGATTCGGGCAGACGGGTGAAGGTCACGGTGCAAAAATCGAGGAGGTTCATTCAAAGGTCACTTGGTGATCGTGCAAAAATCGATGGACAAGTCAGCGGATTACATCTGACGCAGCAGAGTACTGAGGAGGTCACCATATTTGGTGGTGAAACTACATACCAATTACGAAACTCGGCGAACAGGTGAACTAAAGGATGTTGTGAAAGAGTTGAATCGTTCGATACGATGCTACGAAGTTCCCGTGTACTGCTACAGACGGTGGCAACCAAACAAATAACAGAAAGTGCAAAATTTCAAGTCGTATGAGCAAAATCAAACGCCCTGGGATCCTAGAAGGATACAGACAGCTAGGTTTGCCTATAAAGAATCGTGGACTCGTTTAAACAGCATACAAACAGCGAAAAACTGAACAGAGACCTATTTAACGACTTGAGGATTTTAGTAGTAGATAAGCAGATGAGAGCGAACTATTTCCAATTGAATCGACACACGGTAAGAATCATGTGGAGCTTCCATATCAATAGATGCTCAAATTTTCCATGGAATTAGAACCTGGTAAAGTCGTGGATTGAAGCTGCTTTGTGGATACATGGTAGATATGAGGCACAATAAACAGTATACTTTCAATAGCGACCAGTAACAGTCAATGCAAATTAACAGCGAGCCAACCTGTGCTTCATGTTCAGTAACTCGATGAATTCAAAATCCGAAGCGAGGTTGCGAACCGGAATATCGGCAGAAACAGTGACAGGTGATGAGAGATCTGTATGGTTCGCGAAGACCTGGTCGAGCATCAAGCGTTGATGTCGTCTGGCGATGGAAATCCGATGTGGGAGATCGGGGCGGCGAAAGTGAGTAGTAGAGGAGGAATCATCGATTCGTTGAACCAGAAGGTTGAGCTTATCCAGAATTTGCTGCAACATCAACTCAACGCCAGCCAAGAAGGTACCGCACTTTAATGATGTCGTTTCACCCATTTCGGAATAGTGGATACGTCGGTGAGTTGAATTCAGTGTTTTTGTGTTTTTTAGTCCCAACGCTTGCACCAGGGTGCTCACAGCTACCGCCTCCGCATGCGCCCGAGAAAAGATGGACCTATGAAAAGGCAATATGGAGAAGCGCAAATGAGTGAGCAAGATAGATAAAAACTTCACATATGCTCAGCATATTATCATTACAGAGTATAGAAAGAAGGGAGGGCAGTGATCCTTGGGTCACCGATGGATTCGTTGATGACCGAACACCAATACCAAACGGTGTGCTCTAACACAGCAGTAATGGACTCCAATGAGATGAAGTTACAAGGTGATTCCGCATAGACCTTGAGTGTTAAGCGAATAAGAAGCAACGATGGATAGAAAACAAATAAACATAATCTGTAGTATCCAGGGTGCACTTCATGGATGAACGTGAATGGCATAAAGATAAAACAAATAAAAGTTGAGACATTTATTTGTTCACCGAGTAGGCCAATTGGATCGCAGACCTTCCCACTGCCAGTTCAGGTGACATCTTCAGTGAATAATAGTGAAAAGTCTGTTAGGGAATACTAAGAGCTTACAAAGTAGTCTCTGGATTTACTTTGGGCTCAGTATTTGCTGACAAGCTGTTAAATAGTACAAAGTCAATTTTAATGTTTTCGTCCCAACAGCTCACAAGCTACATAGCTCAGTCACAATCCGGAAAAACGCCAGACGCGTTTCGCTCTATTGGGGCTCGTCAGTGGTGTGCATTCCTTCGGTCCCCGACTGGGGATCGAACCCCTGATCGCTAGAGGCCTATCTTCCACCGCCACGCAGATTACTACCCTTGCAGATGACATTGGATAGCCTCCAGGCCATGACTTCCTCTCACTAGACGCTACGTCCATAGCATCGGAAACAAGGAGAGACCACGATCTACACTACTTATGAGTAGGAGGATTTTAGTAGATAGTAGATAGACCGTGCTATATCCCAATTAGCTTACAAATTATATAGCACAGCCGCCGTCCCCCATGTTTCAGTGGCATAAACTGCCGGCTAGTTGGCGTCAGACACTAGTGGTCATGGATCTGAGCTCCAGTAGAGGACCGATGGAATGTGCACCACTGGTGATCCCCAATAGGGCGAAACGTGTTCTGTGCTTATCCGGATTGTGGCTGTAGCTTTTAAGCTGCGGGGACGAAAATATTAAAATTACATTTAAAATCCTCCTACTCGTAAGTAGTACACACTAACGATTTCCTCTTTGGTCGTGAAAGGTATGCAAACCAACTGCCCTGCTGGATGAAGATGTCAACAAGTAAAGATCTAATCACAGCTATTGTCATTTCGACTAACTCCAAGTAAAAGTTCTAAGTGGAACCTTGATAACTGCTAGAAAACCACAAAACGGTGCGAAGTGTAGAAAATCAGTTGCAAATAAGGAGCACAGGTGGGCGAAGAATATGAGGTCCGCAAAAGTAGATAAAATGGTCAATATGCCGTGGAAGAAACATGTCTCGTGAATGTGACTTTTAATGATGCTGAGAGCGACCAAGAACGATAACTGAGGGCACCTGCAAATAAATAACAATCGGTATATTCTTCGACAGTTCAAGTCACAGTCCAATTGAACGGGTGACTGCATGAAGCATGATGTAAGATGTCTGAGGGATAAATCCCACAGAAAACGGGTGGAACAAATCATGTAAGTAGCAAATTCTAAAAGGATGTTTATGTAAGCCAAGAAAAAATTGGTCAATGTAACCTAATTTACATGCTAAATAATTACCACAATATGCTGAGAATGAGACTGTATTTAAACGCAAGTAGAAAAGTTTCTGCACAACTCTATCGAATTATGAAAAAATCAAAGATATAATTGCGAATTGTCAGCAGTAGTGTTTAGTGTTTGTTTAATGGTTTATCCTTGTTCGGTTAGGAATTCGTATCAGTGTCATTATTTCCGGGGATACGATGTATTTTTTGCATTGTGTGTGCACCGTTTTACAAAAGCACAGGCTTCCGAAATAATCGTCGATACGTGTTTTAAAACAATTCACAGAATCGGTCTCTAGTAATCCTTCTGGTAGTGTATTCCGTAAGTTTACAATTCTTCGTTCTGTACAAAGCTGATGTGGTATCTTTTTCATACAAGAACCCTGACTTTGTAACAGTGTAACCGGGCGTTACAGAGTTCCCGCAGGTGAAATATTGGCCGCAGTATGGGGAAGCGATTCAAGTGTAGTAATCGATGGGTCATAATAATGTCAATCCTTACTCGGCAGTAGGATAGTGTGTAGAGTCCAAGCCTGTCACAAGGTTTTTCATACGGAAGCATCCTAGACTGCGTATCATTCTAGTTGCGATATGCCGTGTTTTCTCCAGATTTTCAGTTGTTCACTGGGTAACCGGATGGTAAGCTGGGGCAGTGTATTCAAAGATTGGTCTAACGAGCGAGGTGAATAGACGAGGGACGGTTTCTTCGAACCATGTAGAGAAACTGCGTCGTAATGCCCAGAGCACACGAAGTCCCGCACGGTACAATTTCCCTGTATTTTCTAGTGATCTCATATAATGTCGCGAGAGCATTCCTAAGTCTCTGATAGATGGGTTGGGGTGGAGAAACTGGCCGTCCAAGGTGCGTGATCGCGTGGCTGCACGTCTGGGATACTGATGAACTTCGACTTGCTTGCGTTAAGAGGGAGTTGTATTTCAGTGGATCAGGTTGACATTCGAGCTGAGTCATGCTGGAGGCGAGTGCAGTCGCCCTGGTCCACACTAATCCTCCAGATGTGCAAATCATCTGCAAACAAGGCACATGGTGAGTGGAGCTGCTGCGGAAGATCATTGAGATGAATAAGAAATAATATTGGCCCAAGTACAGTTCCTTGCGACACGAGATGGGAACCAGTCTGTCAGGTAGTCATTGACCCGTACTCTAAAATCTCGTCCCCCAATAAAGTCGTGCAAGCACTGAAGAAGCGTGCAACCGATTCGGTAGGTCCTCAGCTTAGGAAGGAGTACCTTGTGGTTCACTGTCAAAGGCTGTCAAATGCTTCAAGTGGAGCTGCGGGAAAGGTTAAATACCCAGCAGGGTAAGACGAGAAACAGACAATCGTCAACTAGATTCCGAAATGCTACAAAATGCACCACTGCAAAAGTACAGGACTAGCTAGTGGATTTTCTTTCGTGCAAAGAACAAATAAGTCGGTATATACAAGAAAAGATTGTTATTTCAACAAGGCTGCGCTAAAACAGCAAGAAGAAACAAAATTTCAACAGAATAATCTGAATTCAGATATTTCGCGTCTTCTCATTAGCTGTGTACAGACGAGCTGTGGAATCAGTATGTTACACACACGACGGCAAACCAATGCGTGAAATCGTTCTGTCCAAGTAAAGCTAATCGATAACCTCACCAGGGAAAGCCGAGGGCAGTCACAAACTCCGTCTGCTTATATAAACTGGGTTTTAGCTGACGAATTACCGAAGCCTCTGCAAACTGGAGCAGTGCTCTGGAGATTAATAATTCTGAACAATTTTGCGGATGTTGACATGTAGGGTAACCAACGATATGTTGGGCGATGTAGCTTGCGGACAGCCTAGGGTCATTTGCCACCAGGTTAAGTGGGACATGTTCTGAAATCCTTCTGGACAGCCACCTCACAGTTCGAGCCACGTACTTGCTACCGCAAGTACAGTGAGATAGGTAAATACGGGAGGCGGTAACAGTAGAGTTCGGCAGTCCAGGTCGGATTTGCAGAACAAGCTTGGTGGAGTAGCACTAACTCAGCCGCATAATAACATTACTTAAGGCACCGGAGGAGACAATATCGAAATTGCCTGTCATTGTATAGCGAAAGCAATCAATGAAAGCGGATTTTATGTGCCTGAGTATATTCAGCCTTCCAAGAGAAGATATCGTTGGGTGCTCGACTCCTGTCGAAACAGTGTGCGGTGGCACGGTTTCCTAATGGTCATGGAAGCATATTAGGATTACGCATGCTACCGAGTACATAAGCCCGAGAAAAAATAGAATACAGTTGCAGCAATATTACGGATTGCGGATGAGAACGTTTAGTTCGAATGAAAGGCATTCGGCGGAAGCGCATACAGTGGATGCAAGGGAAACAATCTAAGATACGAGCAAAAATCGCACATATATGGGATCTAAATGATATTTCAAATACAGAAGACAAACAAATGAATCGGAGGAAATATCGTCAAAAAATAGCTCGAAAAACGATGGAAAGACAAGTTACACCAATACATACCTCAAATAGTCCAGCCTCCGTTGGAGAGCCTTAGTGTAGGTTTTTGAGCGCGCGAATAGCTTTGAAGCAGAAGAGCGGATGAAAGACACATTTCCATCTTTTGCGCTTCTATTGTGCGAATGAAAACTTGAGGCGAGCAACGAGACCAAATCATCAAGGACTTCTTTTACACTGGTTGTGCTATTATTTGGCGCCTCATCAAGGTTACTATCTGTGGTCGCGGAACCCCGAGAGTCGTGCGAAATGTTCCGAGAACGGTAAGTCAGTTTGTGCAATTGTTTATGCTTACGACGATGCGGGGTTGCGTCTGAATTGGTTCTAATACCAGGAGTGGCTGAGATAGGGGAAAATCGTTCAGGAGCATCTGCCAAGGATTCGGAGAGACTGGGTGCCGCGGAGGTGGCCGAAGCCCCTGGGGCTGTCAGAGTCTGTGTCGGGCTATGTCCGCGCCCACTACTCGAACTGCTGGCTTTACGGCTGCGACCGAATCGCCGATTGTTCAATGACGAAACTTTGTCTGCTGAAGCATCAACCTGATAGCATATGGGAATGACACGGAGTAAGGCTATGAGGTCAAGAGATTAGGATGAAAAAGAAATCAAGACACTCTAGACATCATGATGGAAAAAACGGGCGGACTTGAAGAGTGAAAAAATTAGCCGATTCTAATCACGGAAAATACCTAAAGAATATCATAAGGGCAATACACTTGGCACTAGGATCGGGAAGCGGTAAAAACACACAAAGGGTGTAAAGACATATGAGAATGCACTGAAGTTCGATTTATGTACGTTCCGAACTTTCTCCAGTGGATGGGCTAGAGGCTTCCAGCAAGAGATGATGTTCCGTAAGAAGTTTGTTCGCGGCAGAAAGAGTAGATGACTGAGGAAGAAAGCAGATGGTGGGAAGACAACAAGTTGCAATGGAAAAGAACGAACCAAGTGATGGTCATCACAGTAGGCCGCAGCAATTATATATACAGAAACGCATGATGCGGCGAGTTGCGCACATCTCCGAAAAACTAAACGATCCAAGGTGCTGTAGATGGGCACCTGGATAACTACTCAAACTGGGTCGCGCAACGGCATCCGGACCGGCCATGTTGGTATGAGAGAGATTTCACACACACAGTGCTATGAAAACAGAACACACGACGGAAAACATAACGTATGCCGACTAATAGGCGAAATACCTTGAGTGAATGCTTCAACTGTCAGTTATCTGGAGTTGAGAACTTCAGAAGCGCACCCGAACATACTTGTCCATGAGTTTCGCTTCACAGTTTAGCCGCATCTTGCATCTCTTGCCTTCTAAGGCATTTTGGCTATCTGCAGGGTGGATAAGCAAAGACAGACTACCACTGATGCAATATAACCCTCAGTTTTCGTCCATTAACTTCTCATGCATTCCTCATTGTCCCCACTCCTAACTTTCTTCCTTGCACCGCAAGTCACAGCAGCGTATGTGGCATTCCAGACATTTTCCCATCTGCGTGCATGTCAACACAGTGCATATCATTCCGCTGTTCTCAACAACCACATATTTGGCCAGGATGCTCGGTTTCTCTGATGGTGTTCAATGTTGGCACCTCAAAGTGGATGGGTCAACAAGCACATGGGTCAATCTAAGCGTGGAAGAGTGTTGTGTTTCCTAGACTATGACGCACGATCCTCATGAAGTTAGCGAAATAACTGCACCCAGGTTATCCTCCCGTTATCGGAATGCGCGCATCAGACGCTGGAACAGCACACACAAGTAAGGCTACAGTGGCCATCGTTATCACCTCCAGATTTAAATCCACTTGGTTCGTAAACGGTAACTACACCATTTCCCGGCCAAGTTATCCTCTTGGGCAACATAAATAATCTGAGGGGGCATTCAACATGAGTCTACTCAATTAATTTGTTCCGTGCGTAGGAGCTGAAGCGCCCCATCTGCACCCCTATGAGTTAGTGCGTCTGAGATCCAATTGGCTAAAGGCGATGGGCTATACCCGCACACCTACACACCTGCACAAGTGACTGGCGTACGCACTTAACAAATTAATTGAGTAGACTCATGTTGGATGCCCCTTCAGATTATTTCTGTTGCCCAAGAGGACAACTTGGCCGGGAAATGGTATAGTGTGCAGCTCATTCGACAACAGCGCTAAGCGTTCACCATCGCCGCATATGCTCCAATCAGTTGTAGTTCTGATACTACCGAAGACGTCTTCTACCGCGAAATAAGCACACTGCGAGTTCTGACAAAGCTCTAGTCAATTGGGATCCGAATGCCCCAGTAGATCGTTCCAGCCTATTACAAACACAGTTAAAGTGAGAAAGATACGTTCAAACCCAAAGGCATTGACAAAATCGAGTGTTTTGTGAGTGCACAATGAACATCAACTGTTTCTGGGTAGATGTGACATCAAATGTATTGAACACTCGTGTGTCATTTGATGTCTCCCGGTACCTGGTTGTAGCTTGGCCTGAGTACATTACATCGCTGCAAGTCCTAGGTGCACTATCTTCGTCTTTGGCTGCGGTTCATGCTGGAACATGTGCGGCAGTTCTGATATGTTCTAGTATGCTACCGATTGTTGAGCCACATTACTGGGAACAACAGTAAATGACTTCCTAGATTAGTGTCTGACAAACTACTTCAACCCACGGTAAAGTAAGGGTGCCTTACGGATTATAGTAATGAAATACAGATTGAGGGGGGGGGCAAATAATGGGGATAGAACAAGATTCTGCTACTAGGTGTGGTGCCGGGAGACCGTTTGCACCATTAGAGGCTGTCATGGCGCGGGAAGCTAAGTGTTCGAAATATCGACAAACCAGTTGGAATAGAGATGCGACTGTTGCAGAGCACTATGCGTCCAAACAGGCCATCAGGCACTTGTTAGCTGACAAGTGGAGTTAATGAATGCAGAAGGATAGAGAAATGGAAGAAGCACGAGTGGCATCCACAGCCTTTAATCATTTTTGACATGCTGTCACGGGTGCTTACATGGACGAGCTCGGATATCGTTAAGAGGAGGAGATCCCCCTCGCCGCTTGATCAAATCCATCAAAGTAGAAAAATAAAAGAAGACGCGTCACTTCTGTGCTAACCACAGCGGAATCAGCTAGATCCCGATAATGATGTGGTTACTGACCTCCATCCACCGCAATGAGACAACGTGGTGCAATGGTTTGCGTGCTTTAGCGATCCAGTGAGCTGTGATAGATTGTACTTCTTGCATCTTCAGTCGATGGTTAGAGGCAAGATAAACTCCGTCTCCTGGTTCGCTAGGTTGGGGGTTAGAGTGAGGGAGTGCCTTATTCCTTAAAATGAACTCTCCTTAGCCCACTGACAAACCGACTGTCTTGTGGTCATGTTTTTGAATCAAAGGCTTTGGTTAAGAACCCTAGTCGTCCTCCTGTTTGGACCAAGGACACTTGATAGTATCCTGTTTACGCAATAGGATGAAGAGTTACTCAAACAATTTTTTAATGTCAGAGGTAGTTCGTCGCAGTCCCCTCTCAGTCAGCAGGCTTCGACACGTCTGGAAAAGCACCAGATAGCTGTTTCTATGTTCTGGGTGTCGACAGTGGTGCGTCTTCCTCGGACCCCTGCCGAAAGTCATGAAGTCGGAATCCGGCTGGGGATCTGAATGCTCAAGTGAGAAAATCGCCCGCATCTGGGAAGCCAAAATGTAGGCTCCCGTAATGACAACTGAGCAGTTACTTCGTTTGGGTGAAGATGCTCGCCTATTTCTTGCGAGCGCTAACATCCGACATAGCACCCGCCGAAGGGTGACATGGCGCCCACCAGCCTAGAATCAGCCATAGACGCAAATCGATCAGATCGCGATCAGTTATCGCTGGAGTGGCTGAGTCCAAAACTGTCGATCGATTTGGAGCACATGAGTGGACACCGACAATGCACTGGTATGCGCTGACCTGCAGATGCGTTTGGGCGGACGCCCAAGACGACGATGTGAGCGCATTGACACTAGCTAACTGGCGAAGCCAGATGTGCTAAATGCGTACCGAAGTAAGCTGGCATGCGGCTTGAGTAAGCGCTCACTGAATACAGCTGAACGCCACTGATCGCATCTTCAACAGACCTTAACAGTAGCAGGCAAATCATCATGTGGTAAATCTGATATCCAACCTGGACAGTGGGTCTTTATACAGTCTCCGGAACTTATCGATGCTCGCCAGCACATTCCAGCTGGAAGCGAACACGAGACTCACAAAGACCTCGGGGCAAAACTCTGTGCTAAGCTTAAGAGACCTCGAATCCTGGTGATCTCATCGTGCGTCGGATGGAAGTGGCCGCTGGCCTTGGCAACCATCGTAAGTTATTCCGTCTGATACGGGAAACGAGCAGCAGGAGACCTGGTGTTAGTGTAACTATATGTGACAGGAGTGGACAGCCTATCGACAACCGGTCAAAACGCTTGGAGTGTTAGGCTGAACACTTTGAAAGGCAATTTAGTCGGCCAGAATTGTCAAATTGCTCTCTGGCTAGTGATCGCCTTGTTGCCGTTGGACCCGCTCTTCTCCTCAGAGGGCGAACGTGAGATCAGACTGCTGAAGTTGAATAAGGCCGATGGACTAGACGATCTTCATCTAGCCCACTTGATTTACACAATTTATTAGTGAAACTGCGGGAGCAGGAAACTGTCCTAATCGACTGGAGCCGCTTCGTTAATGTTCCGATCTTCAAAGGACGCTCACATTCTGAATGCAGCAACGATAGATGAAACGGTCTGATATCTATCGCCTCAGTTACTAGCCTCTGTTATTCTTCACAGACTGACTGGCGCTCGTGAAAGCTAGATGCCCGAGGAGAAAGCCGGAATGCGTCGAGGTCAGAATGCATCGATCATAGCTTCACTTTAGGTCAATTGTTGGAGCACCATCACACATGTTGGCGGCCACTGTTGTTGTGTTCCTCGACATGAAAGATGCCTTCGAATCGGTGAAGCAATGTCCTTTGGGACTACTTGTTAAGGGAAGGTGTGCCCGAGAAATATGTAAATATTATCCGAGCGCTCTAAGCGCGTAGCTCGGGCAAGCTGTTGCAGCCCTATGACATCTCCAGCGGTGTGAGAAAGGGATGCCTCTTCAACTTCGTTATTGACGTTATGGAAATCGTGTTCACTGAAGCGAATTGGAAGGTGTGGAGCGGCTCCCACAGGCGAACAACTTCTGGACTTGGAAGGTGCTGATGACATTGCCCTCATCAGTGACAGCCGTTAGGTCCGTTTAACCTCAAAACGTTTGTTGAACTGTACTTTTCATTTAACCTACATGGCGAAGTCTGATTACACACCACGTGATCCACGCCGACGTCAACAGCATTTTACCTCTAACCAATCACCCTTCCGGTGCATCAAAGCACGTGACAACCACAGGCGACTGAGAAGGCAGAGAAGGCCACTGATTTGCCCATGTCGCATAAAGACGCAACACAACACTACTGGACGACCGGACAACGGACGCATACGCTTCCATTCACGTGCTCAAGGCCTGTCGCAACCTCACCGCAATCTAAATCGGACCCACAGCAATCATACGAGCACATAGGTCTAGCTCTCTTGTATATATCAGTATTGCCTGTACTAGCTTTCAGATTTCGTAACTAGTCTCTATCTAAAGCAGCACTAATAAATGGTGACCAAGACTTGAGACACACTGTACTATCCTGACATTTAATTGCTTTTTATTTTTCGCCTAAGAATCTGGCCGTTCCGTCACACCTGATGATTTCGCACACTCATTATCAAACATCAACCCAGTTTCTGTGAACCTCCCGCCTCTTTGGCATCACGACCCACAAATGTGGTTAACTCAGGTCCATGCACCGTTTGCTCTTCGCAATATCACTCACGAACACGCAATTTTTCACCATGTGCTAGCCGTATTGCCACCAGATTGTTGCTGACCTACAAGATATTTTGTCGACATCGGATGATGTTGAGCCTTATTCGCAACTTAAACATACAGCCATCCAACGAGCCGCCATTTTTGAGCAAACGTCTTGAACAACTGGTTAGCGGCGAATCACTGGACAGACGCACTCCTTCCCATCTCATCAGACGTACCCACGGTGTATAAGGTGATCGCAAACTAGACGAAGCGTTATTCAAGCAATTATTTCCGAAGCGTTTACCTACGCTATTCTAGCCAGCAACGCTGACAAGATTTTAGAAATCCAACCTAGCACAACTGCCATCCACGCCGTTGAAACGCACAGTCTGCCAAATTTGATTAACAACCGTTTGGATGATTTGGCTAAACAGATAACCAAACTTCGGTTAAATCGACTGATACGACGCCGTTCTTCTAGTACTCGTTCATCAACTCAAACAAGAAGCCATTCTTCATCGCTTACTTCAACAACTTGTTGGTACCATAGTCGTTTGGGGTATTAAACGCCAGAGTCTAAGCTGTCGGAAAACGAACAGGCCAGACGATAGAGGCGAGCACTGTCCCTGGCCAACCGCAATCCAACTCTTGTCGATTCACTGTTCTAGATCAAACCACAGGTTCCCGTACTCTAGTCGATACGTATGTTGACATCAGCGTCATACCTCCAACTGGCTCTTCGGTAACGCAGTCCATCCTCGATGTGCTTAACAGCAGCCAATGGCACCAGTAGTAAAACTTGCGTCGGCCGGTGGCCGAGTGGTCTGCGCGTTTGGTTTGCAACCATAAGGTCACCAGTTCGAATCCGCGTAGGGGTGGGCGTCCTCGTGGTATACTCAGCCCGCGCGCGACTGGTGGTGGTCACGCGGCAGCGAAGCGCCGTTACGGCGTACAGCTGACACATTACTATTATTATTATTAGTTTGTAAAACTTTCGGTCAGCGAAACTTACTACCCAGCCTTGATCTAAGGCGACAATTTAGTTGGGTAATCATAGTCGAAGACGTACATCAACCCGTATCAAGCGCGGATTTCCTGACACATCTCAACCTGGTAGTGGATCTACGCAGCCAGTGTTTGCCAGATATCAACATGCAGTTTTCCGTTCCTGGTAACGCAGCGTGTACACCATCCATCTGACCCCTAATCCTTTTACCACTGAACTCTCCTCCTCACTCATAGATTACCAGATCTACTTAAAGCAAATTATCATCGGCCGAATACCACACATTCTGTAGGTCACACATCACCACCAGCGGTAACGCAGTTTTCTCCTGTCCGCGACGTCTACATTCAGAAAGACTAAAAATAGCTAAGGATAAGTTGCAACACATGCACCAGTTATGAATAATTCGACCTTCTCAAATTACGTGGGAATCATCATTGCATATGGTAGCAAAAAACAGCATCCGATTGGAGAGCATCGACGACCACAGAGCACTCAACTGCATCACCATTCCTTACAGGTACCCCATTCCACAAACATGAGTGTTTTGAGGTGATAAACGGACCTAACACAGCTCGCAAATGTGCCAAGCAGCACTAGACAGGTAGGCGATCGCTGTCAGCCGTTTCGGCTTTGCTTTGCACCCTCAAAGTGCAAAGCTTTCCTTCAATATTGGCAGGGACGCACCGCAGCGCTGATCTTTGGTGGCGACCAGCTAGTGATCGCTCAAAAATTAATTACTTATACAGTTGTATCAGCGCCGCTGGAGTTGAAGACGAAATCACAAACCTTATGGCAAACGCTTGAAGTGCTTTTGCTAACCTTCGCCACATATGGCGCCGGCACGAGATCACTCTCTCCTTGAAGGGTTGTGAACAATGAGATCGTAGGTTCAACCCTGCTGTACCGTTGTGAAACCTGGCACATTAGACCAACCGACACAAAGAGACTAGTTACATTCAACCACTGGAGCATTTGCAGCTTGGTTCATGTATGGTGGGAAAACCGTGTGACCAAAGAGCGTGTTTGACCCCATGGTTATAGCACAGCAAGAGGAAGTGAACCGCTCACCACCGTGATTTCACGCGCCAGGCCCCGATGGCTCGGTCACGTATTGCGCATGCCAGCATCAGAATCCCGCGTCGTGCGCTGTCTGCGCGCCAGGCGTGTGGATGAAAGTAGAGAAGAGATAGCCAAGCGACTAAGTGAAGAAGAATCAAGGCCCATAGTCCGAAGATGGCCTCGGTTGGAGCCCCTCAGCTACCTGGTTGAGGTCCCAAAGACGATGAACATATTTGGCTGAATACACTTGTTAACATCGCAAGGAGCCGACGTTAGTGGCGTTTGTGTAGTGGGTTTCTTTATCCCCCCTTCCCGCTTAACCACCCTTGCAAACACGATCTCTTTCCCTGAAGCATAATAGCCGGCTGCTAACTCTCAAGAACGACGTCCACCTGTTACTGGTGGCTCAGCTGACGTGCCTATGTTGCATCCTTTTTCCTTTCTCACGTATTGCGACACAATAGTCGAGGTGTTTCCCACCTCTAGCTCACATGTATAAGGATGCATGATGACCGGCCTCCGCTCTCGTCCGCCAATTTACCATGGGACCGAAAGCATGTGTGATCGACAACCATTCACGCATAGGTCTGAGATAAAATGTCTAAGAACAGCCTCCTTACAACTAATGCAGGTCGATTATGGACATGGACCTGCCCATGCGATTACGTTTGAGTCGAAACTATATATCTCATCAATGCAAGATGGAGGAAGGTTAAGAGCCGGGGGCTTGAAGGGGTGGGAACAAAAGTGAATCTGGATCGAGAGGATATGGAGTAGAAAACGTAAGGAGGGAATAAGAAGGCAGGTATGCCTGAACAGTTTCACCCTTGCTTTGATCCAGAAGATAGGAATTCGTTGAAATCTTCTGACCATGAGAGAGTCAAGAAATTATGGGACGGCTAACCAGTGTATTCTGCACGGGCACTGACCAGCATGGCATTGGAGTATGGGTCGGGTTATATCGCAGATCTATTTCAAGTTATGATGGTCGGCTATCTCCCTTATTGCTCAGTGGCCTAAGCTGATGGCTAGTGGTGTAAGCCATTAGCGGACATGGGTACGATACCCGGCAGGGGATGATGAACTGCACTGACGAGCCCCCAATAAGGTGAAACGATCGCGCGTGATCCTCTGAAATCGCTGTTGACCCTCATGGCTTACAGTCTAATTGCGATTAACCCAATAAGTCAAAAAATCGTTTGAAGGAGGTTCTATTGCACACGCCGACGCAGAAGAACGTTTGGAGTTCCCGACTAGACTTTGATTAAGCAAAATTGACTGCGATAGCTTAGTGGTGGATTACTGAGAGATCATTTTAAAGAAGAAGGAATCACGCACATCGAACCCAAGAATTTGGACCGAGAGAGCGTTCGCTTGGTTTCCCATCATTGACCAATCGGGTATGAGTAGCTCCGAAAGTGCAAGAATCGCGGATGACCGCCAGCCATCGCACCGGGTTAAAATTGCGTCTTATTGCAATGAAGACGTGTCACTTGGGTCAGGATGCGTATTGTGTATGCCCGCCCAACACTGTTTTGGTTGTCAAGGAAGATAATGGTGAACCTGATGGTGTTTAGTGAAACCATCGACGAATAAACTGGGTGCTGTTTGGTCAACTTTGTCTTCTATGCTGCGTTCCACGTAACTCGATTTGGGTGTCGTTCGAGATCAGAAGGGAACAGTGGGAGCAACCGGGATCAATGGTGTGTTTGTCATTGTCCCCTAGCCTTACTGTTTGGCAAAGGTATAAATAGTGTCTCGTTATCTGTTGAGCTAGGTTGATTAGGATGCTGGATCCGTGATTCGATTCTACCGATGTCGTCACACCTTCACAGGAGGACCAGCTGCTTGTGAATGTGTGGTGTTGGCAATGCGTAAGCATTTTGTTGTTGAAATGCAAGAAGTTCCTCCTTCTCTTCGTCCTCCTCCTTACTATCCTCCCGTAGTGAGTTGATTGGTCGTGTGGCAGTGAAGTATGATTTGCTGTTGTTGTTGTTGTTGTTGGTTTTGTTGCTTATGATGGTTAACATAAATGCAGTTGGTGGTCGTTTATACGCATCAGTAGCTAGAGACATTGAGAATGAAGTTCAAACAAATGGGTTCCGGGTGAGAGTTGATTCGGATGCGTCCGCGCGTAGGGGCGACGAAGATTAAAAAAAAGCGGCATTCATCTTAACTTGGTCAGTCACAAATCAAATAATAACGATGGAAAAGCAGCAAGATGAGCGATGCTTAATACTAAGTTGTGGACAACATGAGGGATCGTTAGTTGCGCAACAAACGGCGGAGAAAAGATATTAACAGTCTGACAACGAGGAGCGTACACCACTAATTTTACGAAGCGCAAGTCTGTCTGCGCATTGTGAAAATAAGAGACCGCATGGAAGCAAGTGTGGAGACAAGTGAAGGTTGCATTGTGCGAAGATTGAGCAGCGGGGCTTAAAGAGAAACTCACTTCGATAAGATGATGATCACCATCTGAGATAATGTCCGGACAAGCGGTAGCCCCAGTGGATAGCGCATATTTTGGTGAGGACTTCAAGCTGACTGGTGACTGTCTCGGAGGGCTGTGGCTGAGTGATGACCAAAGAAATGAAAAGGAAAATGTTGGAAAGTTAACACGAAGGGAACAGGTAAGACAAGAGAACAAAACGCGGATGCTTGAAGGTCACCTGATGAGAAAATGTGCACAAACAAGTAGGTACGAAAAAAAGAAGCACTAAGTGATTCCGTTCAATTAGGTTGACGACTGATGCTCCGAAATAAGCGACGATCTATGATTTGCATCATATGAATCAAAATAATTTCAAGATTAACAAAGATCAATTAAAGCGAAGTACAAAATTAAAATAATTCGATGAAATATTTAGCAGCCAGAAAGTGGGACATGAATGGAAGAACCCCACTGAATTAGTAACTGCGCAGTATCCGATAGAGTATCCAACTACTGATGCGGCGGATACTGAGGTCTTCAACCAGGAAGACGAAAAGCTCCAACCCGAATCAGTGTTCCAGGAAGATTCTTTCCACTTTGTTTACGTCCTGATCGCCACCTATGGGTTTCACCAAAAATCTGGGGAATTGAAAAACAACACACTCCGAGGTAACCGGCTGGTAGGCATGAGGAGCGCATGACCCAGGAAATGAAGGTGACCCAAACTCACCGGATACTCCAACGTGAAACTGAAGAGTTTGTCGCAAAACACCCTTTAAATGTATATTTGCAGCAACGTTCTTGTCAGGTACATACATCGAACACTAAGAAAAGCACGAAGAAATAAACAGGGAACATATTGGGCATACACGCAGGTGGTATTCTTCATAGGTAGTCGGAACCTATATTGTGAAAGTTGGCGATGTACTTCTTTGGTTTTGTCATGCAGTAAGATGCTACCTGTGTTCAATATGCGCCAATGATAGGGGACGGCCACAAAAATAGTAGAGATGAAAAGAAGAAAAGATAATTGAAAGAGCAAGCAACCTGCGTTGAGGGCGCAACTGTGCCAAGAATGAAGTCCCTCACTTCGAAGTTGGCGTCGATTAGTGCTTCCCGACTGATTGGCTGGGCACAGGAGGATGGGGAACACGTTGGATTAGATACACCAGCCGACATGTCAAAGAGCCGACTTTAATGGTATTTGTATTGTGTCTCTTAGTCCCACCCCTTTTCTTTAGCTTCCTCCTTCAACAACGATCAAAAATGTTACTTCTTTAGAGCTTTAAATTTACATCAGCTGAGGTGCCTTTCTCACCCTCAGCTAATGTGTATTGATGATGATGATTGATGATGGAAACGCCAATGTATATCGCTCGAAATCGTACACTATGGCGAACATGCTGTGAGGCTTTCTTCCCCTGACTGCCGTTTCTGCCCTTTCTTGTTGTTAAACGTGGGCCGTGGTACACATCATCATCGTCAGTACAGATTTCCTAAAGGTGAGAAATATCCTACAACTTTGGTGTTAGCGACTTATTAATTCGAGCCCAAGTGATTCGATTCCAGCCGAGTTCTGTCCGCGCAGAGGGCACGGTAAGGTAACTGCTGGGTAGACATGCGGAGCACGTGCGCAAACTCAATCGGATGCCTTTGGGGCTTGCGTTGGCCAAGTCTCAAATCGCAAGTCACATTCCGCATGAAAGCATGACTGTGAGAAATTTATCGCTATACAATCCGTCGGTCCTACTCTTGATGCGCCGATATTAGCAGTGCTGCGGGTATGTCAAAAGTAAGAGCGACTGTTATAATCTTCCCACTAGACGCGATTCCGTAATAGGCACTTTACTGCTCCTCAAAACTTCTAGCCTAACCGAAGAAAAAAGCAGAACGCCAATGACGTTGACAAAATAACGTGTTAACCGCCGTCAACTAAACACTGTACGAATGCAGCGGACCTTGGCTGTATGTATAGGACTCTTACTGACATTTGACTTCTGGAATGGGAAGGTCAACCGCCAAGGTTAGTTGTTCCATATAGTTGTGGCCGATCTTCAGAACGTCACTAGTCACGTGCAGGCATTGAAATATTCCAGAACGTTCGAAATCGATGCGATAATCGGTAACAATTGATAATCACTGAAATAATGGATTTTCCGGGGAATTCTTGTTTGCTCCCGGACACCTACCCTCCTGACATTGCGTCCGCGGTATGTGTTGAAAGCCTGGGATTAACTTGTAGTCTTCGGGACGGTGTTCTATGCCTGTCAGTTCACCTCCTGGGATGGAGTGCCCGAGAAGTGGGTTCCGACGTCTGTGATTCGGTTTCCTTGTTCGACTGTGAGCAGTCGTAAATGGATTCTTTTGGCAAGTTGAAGCATTACACCAATAAGTCGAACAGAAGATCGGCAGGCTTTGCTTCTTCTGGTTAGCACAGCTAGTTTGCATGCTGTGACCAGATCTGTACGTCCATTATCCAGTCATATACGGCATTTCCGAGCGTTTATGACCGTCCTTGGCGTCCACTTCGCGTGGCCTTCCCGATAGTCACGTACTAGCACTATCTGTCCAAGTGCAAACGATCGTTTCCTTGCTCCATGCCGTCCGCTAAAATCTTGTTCAATTCTGCGGTTTCTTTCACCAACAGAGGGCTCTGAGTGCGGTCGGATGGTGTCGAAAGGCATGCGAAGCTTCCGGTTCATTACAGCCTGTGTTGGAGAAACTCCGTCCGGCGCTTGTGGATGCGGTAGAGGAAAAGGAATCGGTCAACTACCTCCTCTATACGTCCCTCCCCTCTTGACTTGTGGAGAGCTCGCTTGAACGCATCGACAAACCATTTTACCCGGCCATTCGACTGTGGGTGAAACGTCGGTGAGCGAATGTGCTGGACAGCGCACTGCTTGCAGAACTCCGTAAAAGTTGCCGAAGCGAATTGTGTGCCGTTATCAGCCACAACTGTCTCAAGACAGCCGAAACTGCTGAAGATTTGGCGCAGTCTTGATACAGTAGCGTTAGTGGTTGTGCCATCCATGAGAAATACTTCAGGCCACTTGCTGCACGAGTCGACTATGATGAGAAAATTTCGGCCATTGATAGATCCTGTGAAGTCGACATAAATGCGGCACCATGGTTTAGTAGCTTTTGGCCATGAATGGAGCTCCGCATTTTGTGGCGCTTTTAAGACATTGGCGCACTTTTGGTAGGGTTTAGCCAGTTCTTCTGGCTGTAGGTCCATGAAAGGCCAATATACATAGCTGCGAACAAGCGCCTTCATCCGGTTGATCCTAGGATGCCACGCATGAAACTGCCGAATAACGCGCTCCATCGTTGCGTTGGCTGGGGACCTGAACGCGCAAGTTGGAAAGTTGTCCACTGATGAAATGCATCTGGGCGGTCAGCACGGTGTAGGCTCCCGTAATGATAACGATAAGCCGTTACTTCATTTGTGTGAAAATGCCCGCTTATTTCTTGCGAGCACTAACTTTCGACACAGCACCCGCAAGCATGCGGAAATGCTCCGGGGGGACCCCGATGATGTTATCAGTAAAAGCAAGTAGCGCGTTCGTTTTCCGGAGCAAGTGATGTCAGGCGCAAGAGCTTGTATCACACAGCATCAATGCGAGAAAATGGTCCAGCACGTGATGGGTAATTACGGACATGTAATTGATATAGCAGGTATGTAAGCCATTTCGTTCTGCATGAAATATTCGCCTGTAAATGGAGCTGGTGTTTTTCCTTACTTCACCGCCAGGTGGGTTCATGGAGCAATACAGGCTTCGTTTGCAATACGCAACTTTGTAAGCGGGGAACACCGAGGCGCTCGGTGAGCAAATAGTACGCAACGTCTTGGAGCGTATCCGGTTTCCGTTTCTGTAACGTGAAAAAACTATGTGAGAAATAGAAGGCTGGTAACACACCTGGTGATTAGTCGTTCAGTCGGAAGTGATTGCAGATCGTTTGTGGTGCTTTTCGTTGCTATTTGTGTATGCAGAGCCTTTGAGTATGGAGTCATACGCGAGTTGCTCAGGGGAAAATGATGTAACACGCTTAATCGCAATAGGTTCAGAGTAATCAACTACCCAGGGAAAGAAACACAAACTGTTGCACATTGCTTAAGCTAGCACATTTATGATTGGAGCGGAAGGCGAGACCGCTGAGGCATTAGAAGGAACGTATGCCTGCATATCAATGGTAACCTTTCCAGATTATGTTATTACCTATTGCAATCTGCATACTCAACAATCAGATAGTTGCGGTGCCCGGTGTAAGAAATGTGCCTTATTACGGCTACTCACTTAGGTAACGCTTTGTATGTACCTGTGCTTTCGCAGGTGATGAACGATTCCACATGCTTCAACCCGGTCTTTCCGTCAATATGCATGCCACCGGGAACACAGGTATGTGCCAACAAGTGCGACTAGTTAGGCTGGCTTCAAATCACTCTAAATTGGCCAAATGGCGTGCTCACACTAATGAGAACGCAGGTGAGCTTTTGCTCTGCTGTCCGGAAAAGGGGACAGCTTCCATCCATTATGTGGTTCAGGCAATTTCATGTCACCTGCAATCTATCTTGATCCGTGGGGCACGTAGACTTAACCCGATCCAAATTTAGACGGATCAGAGCTAAACATAGTCAGGCGGAATAAGAAATATGGTAACGAATAATTTGAGTGGCTGCGTGTTTGAGCCGGAAGGAACGTCCGTAGCTCGGAATGCATAACTACACATAAGTTGTGCATCACAATGCACGGTCAACTTCGTCCATGTAGAGGAAGCAGTCCAAAACGTTAGTAGTACCTTATCTCAGGCGACTTGTTACCAATAAGAACTACGGTGCACTGACTGCACTGAATTGCGCCATCTGTAGTTGATGTTGATGTAGTCAATTCGGGTGCAGAGTAGTCCGTCGCTAGGTGACCGCCAAGTAGTTCGATGTAAACGTCCGTGCTGGAAGGCTGTGCTGCCTACCTACATGCGGTGGTCAGCGCTAAGATGACTTAAAGGGTCACTAGTGTCATTACACCTATGACCAACTCCAAAACGGCCTCCGATGGGATGCTCCAGCTATGATAAGCAACAAGCATGAACATTCATGCTGCTTGCAACAATCCCGAGGTTCGTAGATTAGGACTTTCGAAT